TTTAAGTTTCTTTCTGTCTATTATGATTATTAAAATATATAAGACAAAATCCTAAAAAAATTGGTAAAAATTGTCATTAAACTGCAAAAACTCTAATAAGGAGTCGTCGTACGATTTTCTCCATATGACTGAATTGTCGATCTTGTCTTGCTGATCATTTTTGTTTATTTAAGTTTCTACTCGTGTACTAGTATTAAAATTTTGAAGATAAAAGGCAAAAATGCAAAAATCGTCATTAAAGGGCACAAAACTCCAATAAGGAGTCGTGTGAAAGCGTTGACTTTTAATTATAGATCTTTTCTGGATGGTCATTAATACTATCTAAGTTTCTATCTATCTATTATAATTTTTAAGATATGAGACAAAAACGTAAAAAATTTGTAAAAATGTCATTAAAGGGCAAAACTCTAATAAGGAGTCGTCGTACGATTTCCTCCATATGACTGAATTATCGATCTTGACTTGCTGATCATTTTTGTTACAGAGGATGACCTTGAGGTCATTCCGATGTATTGCTATCGCCTAAATTTCCATTATGCAAATTAGTTTTGGGATTTCAACCGATCTATAAAAATTATAGTTCCGCGGTCATTACAAGGGAAAAAGTGCATTTTTATACCTGCGATTCCGTTCTCCGTTCGTACGATGTTTCATCAAAAAATGGAATCATTTCAGTTGTTGATTTAGTACTGAAAATTTGACTGAATTATCTCCTTATTAAATACGGTTTTATATGTTTAATAGGTGTTTAAGAAAGAGGTCAGGTGCTCATGTTCATTCATAAAATTATCGTTCATTCATGAATTTATCGTAAAATCAAAATCACTACACAGGTCACACAGGTTGTATACGTAGTGTCAAAAGATTACCTGTATAGTATCTAAAAATAGACAAACTTAACTGACTCCCCTTACTGTAGTGTGTGATAACATTTTGTGAGGGAATTCGATGTTTGCTATACCACTGTTCATTTCAACGCACTTTATGACGATACCACTTTATCAATATGAATGAAATTTTTTGCAGTGTTTTAAGAAATAATTTTACTTTAAAATCGCGTATCATTTGTGAACTATTAAATGTTTTACAAGGACGAATTTTCTGTATAAAGTCAATAATTGTGTGAACTTTTGAAGCCCAAACTTTTTATAGCCTTAAATACGCTAATGAAAGATCCGAAAACTATACCCATACAGAACGACATGTTTTTGAAATTGTAGCAAAACTTTTGGTTGACAAATTTTAATTCGTTATTGCATAAATATTAACTTGAAATATCTGTCATTTTCTCCCTACCCAGTTTACCTCTATTACTCATAATGATGTGGACTTGACATTGTAATTGAATCTTATGCAATTTGATTGGATTAAGTTATTATTAGATTACCTTCAAACTGTTCATGCTTTTTCGTACGAGTATATTGATTAAATCAGAGCGTGCATGAATGTGTACAGAAAATTAAATGACCTGCAAACTGGACACTGGACCAGTCCATATAACGTTTTATCAATGAATAGATTTTTTTTTTATTTCCCAAATTACAGGGCCCATAAAGGGCATAAAATCAGATACAATTGATTTACATAATTGGTAACAACAACAATAATAGCGGCATATAAATAGATATTTAGTATATAAGCATTGGTCAGAATCAGATGAACGAAACTTAAGGTATGAAAGGTAACAATTGCCACTTTTTATCTTTTCACATAATTTTCCACATACACATTAGATAAATTATTTTTGATAGCCTATTGCGGAGAAAAAAGAGAAAGTTTACTGTATTAACGTTCTATTCCATTAAATACGCCATTTTTCGAAGATAAATGCAGAAAAACATTTATGAACGGCTACGCCAGGTAAAATTGTTGTTTATCCTAAAAAAAAATACAATTTTCAGTTTCATTAGAATATTATAATAATAATAAATCCCAAATTTATGTAGTCATTAGATAAAGTCCTTATATGTCCGATCTGTCTATTTTTGGACATCAAAAGACAATACGATCGTTTTAAGGTCAATTTCGTCTACCTCACACAATCTTGTTAGGCACTATAATGAAATGGACCTGAAATTTATTTCACATGTTTCCTGAAAATTGATAAATATCAAAGCAACATAGAGCTGTTTGTTCTAGTTCGTATAATGACAATTTAATGTCATGTTTGTTTGTGATGACCCCCCTTTTCGGGATTGCATCAGAATTATAGTTATCTCGTATCGCATGAGGATGACACATGTCAACTGAGCAATTATGTTTGGGACTTAGTTTTAAGAAATGATGTCAAAGTAACATTATGAAAATATTTTTAGTAAGCTGAAATATATATTTATTTTTTACATGTTTATGTCTTGTAAGATATTTTATTTCTGTCCCGTTTTTCAACATTTGCGTCTGGAAAGTTGAAATGTTTTAACTGAATGGTTAATTTAAATTAATTGTGAAAATGGTTAAAATTAAATCAATAAAGGAAATTATTGCCCAGTTACAAACACTACCAGGGGATAATCCATAATGATTTTTTTTTCAGTTAAATGTTTCAGCACATGTATAATTAACCCCAACTTTAGCCTGGTAAACTTGTTGTCTCCTTGTAAAATATAAAACATATTTAAAATGATTTCCTGCTAAAGTCTTATATTGATGTAAAGTTAAAACCGTCTTGCTTCTCACTAGTCAACACTCCTGTCCTGTCAGGTTTAATTCTTATATATATGGATGAAAAATAAAAGTCCACAAAACATTAACATGGCAGCAATTGCTTTTACAGCCTTTAAGACTTTGACTTTTTTTTTACAGAAGAGTGTCCACCATGCACTTGCATTACACTATAATAATAGTAGAATAGTATGATATACAAATAGATGAAAATTATATATACATGCAACCGTAATATTAATATAATATATAACAACAAACCAGTGTATTCTCTGGAACTATTATTATATTAGTATAATAGTCTAAGGTATACTGATTTGTATCACTACAATATAATAGTTATTACGGTGAGGTTGAATTTCCTGTCATTTATTCATCATCCAAGCACGAACTTGTATAAGAAAAAAAAATCTCTGTAAATTAACCTCAGTTTCAGGTATAGAGATGTGATCTGTTTCTGTGACATGTGCTTTTGACCATCCACAAGAACCTGCGGTCATCCGATGTTCAGTACTTCAGTACTTTGATTTATTCAAGTTTCTACTCATCTATTAAAATTTTTAAGATACAAGGCAAAAATCGTCATAAAAGGGCACAAAACTCCAATAAGGAGTCGTGTGACGATTTCAGCAGCGTTGACTTTTAATTATAGATCTTTTCTAGCTGGTCATTTTTACTATCTAAGTTTCTATCTATCTATTATATTTTTTAAGATATGAGACAAAAACGTTAAAAATTTGTAAAAATGTCATTAAAGGGCAAAACTCTAATAAGGAGTCGACTGACAATTTCCTCCATGTGACTTAATTGTAGATCTTGTCTTGTTATAATTTTTACAGATTTAAGTTTCTACCCATCTTTAATAATTTTGAAGACAAAAACTCAAAGTGAAAGTATTGTTGAAAATGGTGATTTTAACTAGAACTTCCATCAAATTTCTGACAACTGCGGCCGTTGTGACAACTGCTGACAATGACAAGATAAAAGCAAAGCCACCAACATTACTGTTGACGAAAATTGATATTTCGCATTTGTACCTTACTGACTTGAGTAAATTGACAAGCGGCAAATGTCATGCGATGGACTTTTGTGGATTGTTGTAACGAATGCAGACAGTATTTTGCAAGCATACTGAATATAATTCGTGATTAGGGTTTCGATTTCACATTAAGAAGTCTCGACGGGTACAACAGATGTTCTACGATGTCAGGTGTCGGAGACAAGAACTGTCAAATAATATTATTTTGTTTTTGATTCTTCTCTCTTAATTTTTTTTTTGGTCGGCCCGCAAAAGTAGGCCTCCACATAATAAGAGGCGGATTTAGGGGGGCCCAGGCCCCCCTTTTTGGGAAAAATTTGGTTGATTATATAGGGAATCACTGAAGCATGAATGGAGTGGGCCCCCTCTTAAGCAGTCAGTGGGCCCCCACTTCAGAAAATTTCTGGATCCGCCACTGATAATTTACGACGATGATGTGTTTCTGGAGAAACGAAATGAGAGATGGATGTGAAGTTCACGACCAGTTCGTTATTCCAGAGATAAATAAACAAATTATATATACATGTCTCTGGTTATTCGTTATTCCAGAGACATATATAGTATGTCTCTGATTATTCATTATTTGATATTCAGAAAATAATACAAATTTGAATATTTGAAAGTTCTTGTCATGAAAATTTTAGAACCTGAGACATCCTTTAAAACCAGACATATATTTACAATATACAAATGTATATAACATATATGATTTAGGGTGCATATTTGAAAAGTTGTATCTAAACAGTTTATGATATGAGAGGGGGGAGGACATGAATCACAGGAACAAAAGCTACGGTGCACTGGAAATGTCTTCTCATGACAGTTCATGATATGTATGGTTTAGGGGTGAAGGATCTGAAATATTCCTTTTAACAACGACGTAAGAGGGTGGAACCTGATCCCTAGGGACAAATCCATGCTGAACTGCAAATGCCGTGTCATGACAATTCAGAACAATGTTGTTTAGGGGTGGGGATAAGAACTGTATAAAGAGTTTCCAAGATGTTTTACAATAAGTAATACTTTTAAGTACCCAATATAGTGCAACAATAATCAAACAATGGAGGAATAAAGGTAATAAACTATAGTAAACATATATACTGTGTAAGTGTCCAATCTTTGCTCTTGATCCTAAATGATGTGTGACAAGCGGAGGAGCAGCATTTTTGAAGTCTTTGACCCGACTGGGTATCCACAACTCATGACAAGCACACAACATTTCGAATACGTGAGAATTTGGTTTAATCTTCCAATAAAATAAGATGAAAAGTGTTGCTACGTGAGGGTTATCAACACAATAGTATCTTCATTTTTATTTTTGTTATAACCAAATTGAACATTTTATTTTCAGTATAAGGCCATAAAATGGAAAATATAGAACCTGCTGTAATAATTCTGATAATTATCTGTTCTGTAGTGAATGGGAGGGATTTCAATACAGTTGGTAAGATATACTAAATATGAACCACTAGGCTTAGTCTAAATGATAATTTTCTATAGTTATATAACCTAGAAGGAACATTCAAACATGATAAAAACTTAAATAGTTACTTCTAAAACCTTCTACTTCTTAATAAAGTTTTTCATATTTTTCTTTAACTTATTGAAAATAACCCAAATTCACCTGAAAATGTGAAAACCATCAGATCTTTGAGCACATATTAAATGTTGGTATATAACTGATATGCTTTTTTTCATTTTTAGAATCATCATTTAATGTAAAAGGAAGTGACTCCACAGAGAATATTCAAACAACATATAATATTTTGATCTATAATGATTATATTCCGTCACAAAACTATAGACGATTTGGAAGCAGACTTATGTTCCCAGAGCAAACTCTTGGTTCTGAAGGATCCACATTTGATACTAATTTAAGACATTCCAGAAGTGATCAGTTTGATGGCCATTCTGAATTATACAAAGAACCACATGATATAGAGAGCAGAAATCACTATCCCTTTTTCTCTTCAAATGGAATCAGTGATAACAGATATCATGTGAGGAAACCTGCACAAATGTTGTTTAACTTGTTGAAGAATTATGGTTCTTTTTCTGAATCAGATTTCAGTACTGTATATAAACAATGGTTTGGTCTGTGAATTGTGTTTTTTTCTCCTTGATTTATTATATGTATTTTGTTATTTTTTTAATATTAAGTGCCAAATAATTTACAAAATTAAAACATGAAATAATTAAAAACTTCCATACCAAGGACATATGTAATGTAAGCAATGATATTTGAAACAATGGATATAAAACTGACAGTCAATCATCTGATCAGTTGTACCAAGGAGGACTCATTTGAAGACCTAGCCAGTAAATATATGAAATTTGTCTAAATGTTTTTTTTTCAAATATTCTTTGAAAATAAAAACATTTCTAATTCTCTGTTCTTTCATAATATTGATAAGTATCAAGAAAAACATTCACAATATTTTTTTTTATATTGAAATGATACGATGCTGTATAATTCTACTCTCTAATGTAAAAAATTAACAAGTCACTTAAGATTGACTTGTTAATCCTGGTTGGAAACTGTTATACTGTACAAGATATTTATCCTTACAGCAAATGTTCATGATTAAAAATAATTAAGTATCTTAGAACTTAACTCAAGATGTAAGTATGATTTAAAGCCACATGATCACTGAAGCAAAACATTTTGAAGTTAAACACAATGACATCAAAAGCAATCTGATTGAAATGCTGTTCCAGTCTTCACGCTTCTTTCACAAGGTAAAGCTTGGTCACAGGATCTGCTTAATATAATAACGTAACCCTTTGTCCACTACTTTCCATTTCAGGGTTACAATTCTGTCCCATTACTCCTAATCAAGTACAGTCCCATGTTCAAGGTTAGCTTTGTCTGATTGAATTGCAATCTTTGTTTTAGAACAACTGAATAATTTTTTAAGTGGAAATTCACAATAAAAATCTATCATTATATCCAAAACGGGCAACAGTTTCAAAGTAAAAGGTATTCTAAACTTATGACATCATCAGGTATCAAAGTTTTTCTAATACTTTTATAACTAATAAAGGTTTCAGTTCACATGACTTATGGTTTCTACAAAGTTGTATAAACCAAAACGTTTTCACAAACCTATATCATCTAACCACTATCAATATCATAAATCCATCTGATTTAAACCTAATAAGTTTCACAAATTAACATTATCTAAACACTACCATATTATTAATCCATAACATCTGAATTAAATCAAATTAACAAATGACTTACACCTTTGTGTAGGCACCACCCATTCATCTTTTGTGGGGAAGGACATGTTTTTTTTATAAAACCAGGTAAATAGTTTAATTTTGAATTTCTTGAAAGAAAAAAACACAATAATTTGTTTCAGAGGAGAAGTGAAAAAAAACCCCCATTTTCTTTCAATTCCATCGAAATTAAGTGGAACAAGAATGTGTCCATAGTACATGATGCCCCACTCATACTATTATTTTCTATGTTCAGTGGACCGTGAAATTGGGGTCAAAACTCTAATTTGGCATTAAAATAAGAAAGATCACATCATGGGGAACATGTGTACTAAGTTTCAAGTTGATTGGACTTCAACTTCATCAAAAACTACCTTGACCAAAAACTTTAACCTGAAGCAGGACAGACGGATGGACGCACAGACCAAAAAACATAATGCCCCTAGGTGGGGCATAAAAATTGTTTTTTTAATAGCGTTAACAAAATTTCTTGTCCTGAGATAAAAAAAACTATGTGTGCCCAAATGATGAATGGCCTGTGTATTAAACAATATCAAAATTATCATACAAGGATCTAAAAATACATATTATGGCAAATTGTTTATTTTTTCTGGTATTTGACACTCTAAAGCACATTTCTCAATGAGAGATTTCTGACTAATTTCACCAGAAATATTCTGAGGTAATAGTTTTACATCATCACTGGACTGTTCAATATTGAATTCAGAAACAAGTTTATCAGGTTTAGTATACTCCTCACAAAGTTTAATATTATCCAATATAGCTTCTAATTTCCAGTCTTTCCGTAATAAAGCATTTTCAACAGTGAAATGTCCATGCCTTATACGGCGTACCTGTGGACACACAGCTGAAGATTTCAATCGTAGTCCAAGATCGTGTATAATCTTGCTGAGGTACACACTTTCTTCATTTATGGCATGGAGTTCTGTAATAAAAATTGAAATATGAAGTTAATCTATTGAGAAGTTCACCTTGGATATATTTCTAAATATTGCACTTTTTTTCAGGAATCTATATAAGTCTACATAGTGTCACGTTATTTACATTTAAAGGGGACAAAATACATTTGAAATATAATACAAGATTGCTACACTATAAAGAAATGTCTTTGCAGAATCATTGAGATGTCTAAATGTGAGAAAGAGGTTACAAGGTGAGAGTGCTATTACTCCCACAAGAATTGTCAAATCAAAATGACAGTACAGTAATGTCAACTACACTTGATGATAAACAATCTTATCAGGTATCAAAGCTTCATGTCCATTGGTCTCAGTGCAACTGTGTTCACAAGGTGTCATTGTGTTACAAAAGTAAAATAATAGGACACGATGCTCCTATATATCAATTTTTCTTGAAATCATAGCACAAAAAATAAGTTTTTCAAAATGTGTATTTTGGTACTACATAGAAGTGCTGACAGACAGTGAGAGTTATTACTATAGGCCAGTATAAGGCACCATGAATTAGTTGTTGAGTCCCCTTATAATTTGAACTCTTCCACGAAGGTATAAAAATAAGAAAGTGAAGGTATAAAAATAAGAAAGTTTCTGATTTCTATAAGTCTATTACAAACCAAGTGTGATATCAGGAAGATCAAAATGGATACACTTGACACCATAGATCATAGGTGGTGTATCACTAGTGTCTGGTCTAACTAAACCTCTACATGCCAACTGATATGCCTCGTCACTCTGTGGATGAACACCTGCATACCTATAATCCAAAAATTACAAATCATGATATTAACAATTAAAAAATTTCTTTATTGTTTTGTATCTTTTCTTAATTAAATCCATTGCAAGTCAATGTTTGATCAAACACAATTGTTAAGGGAATTCGATACAGTTTCACGTTATTTTGTCATTGTTATAATTTTGAAATAAGTTGTAGGCCTGGGCAAGTTTTAAAAAAATCACCAAATAAAACATAGGTCATCGTGCTTGTTTTCGAGAAAATGGAGGCTGAAAATTGGGGATTTTTACACTTTTGTAAAAAGTAAAGTTGATATTCTTCGTCATAAATTGATAAGATTGGATTCAATTTAAAAGTGTGATAAGTGAAAATAAGGGGAAAATAAATCCATACAAGAATGACTAGTTGATTATTCAAGCCATGCTTAAAATTGAGATATTTTTTTTTACCTTAAATTGTGGAAATAGAGAGGTTCTTATAATGTAATTTTGTTCTCATTTTTCTACATTAACTGCTTTTTGTCATGCTTTTTTCCAAAATGAAATTAAAAGATATATGTCACCTAGATGGATTTGAAGATAAATCGTGATTAACCATAAAAATTACTTCTCCCCTAGGTAACCTCAATGTTTTCAGTTATATATATATATACATTGCTTATAAAGAGCTATCTTAAAGTAATGAAATTATTTTCGGAAATGAAAACATGAGCATCACCAAAGGGGTCTGTCTTCTTAAAATTGCTCACTGTACGATTCATTATTGACTCCATTGTTGAAGACCTCCCAGAAGCTTTTTTGATGAGGAACAGCAGAAACAGTAATATTTGTTTAACTTCTTATGATTTCATTAGACTTTTATCCCATGTATATATACCCAAAATGTTGAAATCAAATGTACTAATCTAAGGGCATAGAAGTTGACGTGTGTGAGAAACATAAATTAGAGCTTGGTTTATACTAAATATTGTGCAAGCGGTTTTATTATTATGGAAAATTACACACATGACATCCCGACAAAAGTGATGTTTTGGAGGAATTCGAACGCTTAATATCACGCTGAGAGTTAACTCCCTTGAAACTGTATCAGTGCCCTTAAGTCTTGGCTAAATGGGCAGATAAAGGGGCAGTTGCTCTGGGCATTTGTTGGAAAATAATTTTACAGTCGAGTTACAGTAAATGGTCATGTCACAGTTTTTTGTCAATTTTGCATACAGCTGTGTTAATAAATATAACTGAGGGTTTGGATGGGAGGGGGGGGGGTTCTTAATTTCTGTATTCTTTAAATTCTAAGGGTATATGAGAGTTCCTGAAATCTTTTTTTCCCTTGTGGTCCGTGAAGAAAATTCTTTTATTTTCAACATTTATTTTTTATACTTTTGCAACCAATTATTGCCTATTCTTACTCTTTTTTTTGGACATTATTCTCTATTTTGTAAACCGCATCCAGACCCTCATTACTGAATCAATTATTTCAAAATAGATGTGAACATTTGTATTGGAACAACATGAAATTGGTGAAAAACATTCTTTAATTTGCAAATAATCTAGTTAGTCATCAACTGTAAATTAATTGATTATGTCCCCTGCCTGATTGTGACATTTTGACTGAGTGTTGATACAAATCGTCATGGTGGTGGATACATGCATAGCAGGAGATGCTTATCCTGTCAATGACTCAGTCTTTTTCTTTTTGGAGTTCCTGCCATTCCCATTTTTTGTGTTTTACCTTTGTTAGTATCTTCTGGTGAAATAATGTGATTTTAAGAAAGGTAAACTACTGTTGCCTCTAATTTAAGTCTTTTTCACTTTTGTTCATGGAGTTGTCTTTCTTTGACTAATAATTAATTATTGCCCCTCTTGGTATATTTCAATTACTGCATTTTCTATTTTTCTGGAAAAAATGGCAAAAGTTTTGAATTAAACTTACTCAAATAATTGTTTTTGATGATTTGCCTGGATAGAGGCACATACTTTATCTACCAATACCTTGTTTATATGATCTGAAGAAAAATTATTGTTTAGATATTTAGCTATATATGACATAAAACATTCCAATCATAAGCAATTTGATATTCATTTGATACTCTTAGAAAGGATAAGGATTATACACAAGACATCAACTTTCTATCCTTAAAAGTGTGAGTGGGGTTCTGAAACAATTAAAAGTTAGTGAAAAGATCACAGAGAAAACCCCAAAAAACTACAATATTTTAATGCACTCTTTTAATAATAAAAATGAGGTCAAGAACAATGAACATATGCCAAAGGAAACACATATTTCATCCAAGATAAGAAGTTACTGGACTGTCCAACTCCTCCAACTTTCTGTAATATAAAGTTTTATGTAAATACTGTATATGTCAACACCAGATTTGCCTCCCTTTGTTTTCCATTCTGCAATATTTGTCTTAGTTGATACAAAAACAAAGATGTAAAATAAATTCAGGCTGAAAGACTATCCTTTCCAAAAAGTTAAGTCAAAATTTAATTAGGTCAGACCTTCAAAACACACATGACTTAAAAAAAAATAGTTATAAAGAAATTTTTGACAACTCCTGACTAATCAATTGAACAGATACAATCATTGATAGACTATCTATATATCTCAGCTATTCATAAACTTATTAATTTCTGTTCAAAGGGAAATAACTCAATCACAAAATAAGTATAACTTCTGGTTTCTAAAAGGGTCCAAAATTCAAGAGAGAGAAAAGCTAAAGTCGTCAAAAATAGAACTTGCCCTTTATTTAGTCAAAGGACACAACATATCAAAATTTGAAAAAATTTCATCAAAGCGTTTTCATGTAAATGAATGAACACTGTTTGGCAGCTGACCGCCCGCCCGCTGTACATCCCCAAATCAATAACCGATTTTTCTTTAAAAAATCCTGTTAAAAATGAGGCTTGGTGTTTTTGGGGGATATTTGAATTAACTAAAACTTGCATAGGTAATTTATGTAATAAATGGACAAAATTAACTAGTGTTTGTTAACCCAGGAATGTTTACAATAGTGTTTTTTTTTAAACCAGGAATGATTACACTAGTGATTTTGCTCCAGGAATGATTACACTAGTGGTTTTATGCAGGTAACAATCCTGATAAAGCAAACATTCTAAGGAGGGTTTTCTTGAGGGGAAATAACAAAAAAATTTGTAAAGGGTTCTGCGGAACCCAGTGTCTCGCCTACTTTTGCTGTTAGTCGCAGGCTCAACAAAATTGGGGAAAAAATTATTTAAAATTTTCCTCTAGATACTATCTTTTGATTGTAAGAAGCTTCTATCCAACTTTGGTAAAAATCCAGGATGGTTTATGAATCTAATAAATGATTAAAAAACTTTAACTGCAGACTGTATGTAATGTTAACTGGAAGAAAAATTAAGTCCATTTATAAGTAATATACGGAAAAACAGAAAATAAATTTTTACAAAATTTCCTTCTAGATACAAGCTTTTGGTCATAAACAAGCTTCTGTCCAAGTTTAGTACAAATCCAGGATAGTTTAAGTAAGTTATTAAAATTTTAAAAACTTTAACCACAGAGTGAATGTAATGTTAGCTGGCAGAAAAACTAAGTCCATTTATAAGTAAAATACGGATAAACAGGATTTTTTTTTACAAAATTTACTTCTGGATACTATCTTATGATCATAAACAAGCTTCTGTCCAAGTTTGGTAGAAATCCAGGATAGTTTAAGAAAGTTATTAAAATTTCAAAAACTTTAACCACAGAGTGAATATTTGTGGACGCCACCAACGATGACGACTACGGAATGTAGGATCTCTATGTCTGGCTTTTGCGACAAAAGTCGCAGGCTCGACAAAAATGAGGCTCAGCTTTTTGGGGGAATGTGCTATGGATAAAAATTTCTAGTTATTTCCTGGATAAAAAAAATAATGATTACCAGTATGAATTTCACTAACAAAAATAAAAAAAAAAAAAAGTGAACTGTATTAGCTAGTAAAGTGTGAAAAAACTCAGATTATTATATACATATGAATTGGTTGACTCTGCTAGGATTGATCTGGTTACCTTTGTATTGATAAACAATGACCAGATCAATCCTATCAGAATCAAACAAACGTTTAACGAAATCGTTTGAAATACACATGTATACAAAATATAATTTGTTTGTTTATATAACCTGTTTAAAGAAAGTAACATGTAATATAAATAAACAAATAAATAATAGTACATCTCAATTTCACTGTTGACATACAATATTCCCCAGTGATTATAGGTATGTCGGAAAAAACACACGCCGGAATAAAAGTACGCTTACACTTGCTGGGGAGGTGTAAGAGTATAGGATGCTTTACTGTCATAACTGTTCAAGTACAGGATTGCAAATAAATACAAGGCAAATTTAATTATGACTACAAAAATTTTAAATAACAATACCATTTAGAGCTTTTTTAGTAGCTTGCAATGTTTGAAAGACATTAATAAAATTTCCATTTCCCTGTTCTAACTGAAAACTTGAAACTCTGATAATACTGTTTATGTGTAAAGAAATTCAATGATTCTCCATTTTAAGCTCATTATTTCATGTTACTTTATTTGGAAAAAGTGATATTAATGATATGAAATTGATATATCAAAAATATAAAATGGACACACTTTCCATGAAATAATATGGTCAAATCTCAGATCAAATACTTACGAAATGTTGTCCTTTCAATGAGTGGTCCATCTGGAGAAAAGTCGTGTGTACAATACCCAAATCTTCCTTTCACATGGTAAACCTACACAAATTAAATTGTCTGACTCAATCATGTAATTATACAATGTAATATACTTCAATGATTTCTTCTCCATGATTACTGAAACCAGGAAAATTTATATCAGTTCTTTTTCTTTTCAAGTCTTTTATCTGTGTTAAAATCAAATCACTTCAAATTCTTCTTATTTAATCACTTTAACAATTGTTCCTTCAATTTTTGGTTCTGAAACATTTTAATTCATTAGAATGATTTTCAAGCCCAATTTATAATTTTGCCATAACTGAAATAATGACATACCGATGAAAACTGGCCTACCCATAAATTGTTTAAATTTTGCAGAAAGATCTATTTCAAGTGTTTGCATAATGCTCAATCCTTGCAAAATACATAAATTGGTTTTCTGGCAAAAAAGGAAGTTGATAAGCAATGTATGAGAAACCCTATCACACTAAAGTATGCCCAATTTTTTTTATCAAATTTAAGAAAGTACTAACTTTGTTGTTCTTAAGAAAAAATGCAATAAAAATTTCAATGCACAGACTGACAAGACATGCACAAACATAGGTAAATAAGTATATCCTTATCTAGGATTTGGTATACAAATAAAATTATTTACTAACTACTTAATCAAAATATAAACCACAAGTTAAAAAAAGGCAAGTAAAAGAATATTTCAATTTTGTGTTTTATATCTAACATATTAGAATATTTTTGTGATTTTATATCTTCCTAAAAGTGGTACCACTGAAAACTAAATGGAGACCCAAAAGTTGTTAAAACTGTTAAGATGAATGTGTTTTCCATTTTTATACATTAAGTTTTTTTTAAATGTCATTCTGAAGTATTGTTGCTAAAAATTGCAGAAAAACATATGAGGGGGGGGGGGGGGCAAGAGGGGTTCTGATCCCGAAATCCCGAATTCCTGATCTTAAAACATTGAAATCCTGGATCCAACAAAAGAATAATCCCGAAATGATAAACATGGCCTCTAACCTCAGATAAACGGGTCAATCATACTTTTTCCATGGGATTACATGTCTTTTGAATATCTAATTATTGTTATAAAACTGTAAGTTAGCAAGGTGACCCTCTTTGAGAAACTGGATGGCCTTTGTAGCATGATGTGCATAATGGAAGAAGTTTGTATTTTGTAACCGTTAGCTGTAACCGACAGTTTAAAAATGTATTTTATAAATTCCCCCAGTTTTTGTTTTGTGCTATGTGGATTCTGATTTTTGATTGTTTGGTTTTGTTGTGGTTTTACGCTGTCTTTCGGCAGTAAAACTGAAATCCTTGTCAATTCAGAACAGGGTCTAACACTATCCGCTTTTAAAAAGGTGATCATATTCTAACTTACAACCCCAGTGCTGACAGGCTAGTATAGTCAGTGATGAGTATAGTTATCATTACGAGTTATGACGAATTACCGTGACCACTTGGCCACCACGGTATTTTGGTGTTCGGAGCTAAAACAACAACTATGTCACCTCCTTTGGTTTATTGTTTATAAAGCTAATTATATGAGCTGTTGACTTCAGTTTCAAATTATTGTGTACGAGCATGCCTCAATAGATCTCAATAGGATAATCTAGAAACACAGATCGATCCAATTTATTGCCACCCATGCAGTTGAATCTTTTTTTTGTTGGACTGATACATGTTGTCCTCGGGGTATCATTTTTTTGGCGATAAATTCTGGAATTAGTCAAGATAAGAATCAAATAAGTTTCCGACTCTCTTAATCAAAATGGAATTTACTCATTTAATATTTTGTTTGTTTGTTTTATTGATACATAGTTTGTATGCCCACCAACAATAGTAGACTGGCATTATATTTTCTGGTCTGTGCGTCCGACCATCCGTCCCGGATCAGGTTAAAGTTTTTGGTCAAGGTAGTTTATGATGATGTAGAAGTCACATCAATTTGAAGCATCGTACACATGTTCCTTATGATATTATTTTTCTAACTTGTATGCTAAATTAAGGTTTTGACCCCAATTGCATGGTTCACTGAAGATCACTGAACTTAGAAATGTGATATTGTAAAAAATAAATGAATAAGAATGAATACGATGCACATGACCTTGACCGGAATCCAAGTATGTAAAGATGATCAAAGATGTTTGTGCTGTCCTTAAACCTTAAATTTGACTAAGCGTCACGATATCCCGAATTAAAAAATGGCTGATCCCCACATCCCGAAAAAGGTCCTGCCCCCCCTCACATATGTTTGACAAAACAGAAATTTTAGTATGAACCAAACTAGATGCTCAAACGAACCTGTATCTATCTACTGTCATCTTTACATAAAAACAACTCATATGATAAAATTTTGTAATACCAGGTAATTTTGATATAACTAAGGAAACTTACTCTGAGAAACTGAGCTGATTTGAGTAATGGAACTTTGTTTCTAGTAGCTGAGCCTATTCCACATACTGAAAATTATTAAATAATTATAACAAATATACAATGCATTAAGATTATTTCTGTTGAATGTAATGTGTGGGCGAAAACTTTGTTACAGGCCCTTTTATAGCTTACTATATGGTATAGGTTTTGCTCATTGTTGAAGACTTGTGACCTGTAGTTGTTTACATCCTTTTGTTCCTTGGTGTTGCAATAATACTACATCTCAGTATTCTTATATTGAATTGATCTTATTGTGTTAACGATGAATAAAAGGAGATGTTGGGTATACATTTATGAGACAGAAATCCAAAGACACAAGAAAGATATATAGAGTTCTTCAAAACAAAATATAGAAAAGTCAATGTTTGGCAATGGAAAACATCAAAACCAATGTGGTTACAGTAATTGACAAAATGTGGTATTAAATCCCAGCAATACATCTTGAGCAATCAGTGATATTTTACTAAAAATCCGATGACTTATTCAGAGAGAGTTGCCAAGGCAGAGAAATAAGTCTTGTCCTAAAGGTCAAGTAATAGATTTTTCATATGCTCATCGGGTATATATTGATCCCAAAACCATATCAAGTCTTATTTGCCATGGTCTGCAAAAGGTAAAGACAACTTTCTCATTTATTATCATGACTTATGGAATTCAAACGCCTCACAATTGTATACTGCTGAGATTTCTGAGGTAAATTTGGAGAGCAGTTGTAAACTTAAGTTAAGTGTTGTACAGGTTATGATCACACCTATCTGTAGCAATTTCTATGCGGATTAATTCTGAATTTATAAAACTTTCTCCAAGGCAAGATTAATCTATTGAAGGCTAATCTCTTGTTTCTTTTATAAAAATATCTTCTAAATTACTTAGCTGATGAAATGAAAATATATGTCACATTATACAGCACACTTTGAAAATTGATGCTGTGTATTTTTTATACATCCCTCAAAAGTGTGGTTAAAAAAGGGGACGGCAAAAATAGCAAACAAAAATATTTTTTTAAGATCATGACACTAGTATAAACTGATATTAAGGATGATCGCTACTCTGTTTCAAAATAACAAGCTATTTAAAAGACTGTTATAAATTGATAGTATATAAATAAAGGAACCAAAAAAGAAGAAAAAAATGAAGGGTCCGTGTGCTTGTTTTCGAGATATAAGCCATTGAAAATTTGGCGGGAACTGTTTGTCTCTAGATTTTTCATATTTTTAACATTGGCACCTTTTTTCTGTCAAAAACTATGAAAAAATAACAAGGATTATATAAGATTTTCAAAAATGGCTTTTTAAACAATATGTAATTAAATTATGAAAAGAAAAGAAAGGGTTAGCGGGCAAAATTTTTATTGGCACTAACATAGATAAAACTAGAGGATTCCGAATATCTGACAAAAAGTCAAAAACAAGAGTAGGGAACATCCTTAATACTAATAGAGATGTTTTTAATGAAAATGTTGATTGCTATCATCAAGAACTGAAAAGATACATTATGCGACTACAATCATTAATTATATGCTAGTGCACTTACTCATAATTCCTGAAGATTTATGATGGAGTCCTGTCACATTAGAGATTCTAAAATCCTCAGGAAGATATCTGTCACCTAAAACTGAAAAATAAAAAATCATATGAGTAAAATAGGTAATTATAATATGAATTTAATAATATTCTTTAATCTACAAGATTATTTAGATTTTAGGTTTTATCAGATTTAAGATTTTATCAGACTTTAGATTTTATTTACTCTTTTTCTTGATCATATGCATGGCTATAAAAATGTTTAAGGATGGTATAATCAGAGACATATATATATACATGTGTATATATGTCTCTGGTATAATTTAGCTTTTATATTTGCCATGTACATGAAGTAGTTTAAAAAGAAGAAAAAAAATTGATATTAGAATAAAGATCAATTGGTTTGATAAGACAACAGTACACAAAAAGTCTCACCTTCATTACTAATTATGATATAATTTTATATTGAAAGTTTATTGTTCTAGGGTTGATACAGGTATAACATAAACTTAAGATATTGAATGTTCCATGAAAATCAGGCCAAGGTTAGATGAAGTCTTTCAGACTGACATGTAGACCTTACAATCATTCTTATTCTGAGATTGCTCTGACTTCTTAAAGCCTTTTTTAAGGATTTGTTTGGGCCATGGTTCCATAGAAAATAAGAATAAAGGGGCAAAATTTATAAACTTCTGTTATTGCCATTTCATATGAATAAGAGCAAGAACACATTAAATAAATAGGTGAAAAAACAAATTAAAAAATATTAAATATTTTTATAAAATTAAACACCCCCCCCCCCCCCCCCCAAAAAATGGATGGGCATCCATTGTCCATGCACCAATGTCAAAAGATAAAGTATATATGAGAAGAAGTTAAACAGCTGCAACATCAGCTAGAATTAAGGGTAATTCTGTGTCTCCCTCACACATTCAAATCATATAATTCTAAATCCACACTCATTATAAAAGTAAGGAGATGTGGTAAGATTGCCAATGAGACAACTATCCACAAAAGTTCAAATGAAGTGGATATAAGTAATAAAAGGCCAATGTACGGCCTTCAACAATGAAAAAACCCATACTGAAAAGTCTGCTATAAGCCACCTTAAAAAAATGTTTGGCATTGCCGACCCACACTATCAGCAGATGGGTAGGTAGGTAGGGAAATTTTTTTTTTTTATATTTAAAAGCTTTATACATGTAAATCATGAAGTCTCTAGATCAATGGTGTCTAAAGCATTGCAGTATTGTTGTGTGTACATGCTGATGGTTTCTTTGAAAGGGGTCAACCGTCAATGTCACATTCTACATCATATGGATAATTTCATGTAAGACAGTCAGTTTTATTGGCACAGTTAACCAAAGTACCCAGAAAAAAACACAGAACTGAGGCAGGAAACTGACAAATTAACCATATAAAATAAATGACGTGAAAATTGAACTTTAATTGTGGGACTGCCCATTGAACAGAGACCTGATGTCACATCTTGAAGTTGTGGTCACAGTTTGGTAAAATTACCATATTTTAAATGGCTCAACCACTACGGCTCCTTGTATAAATAGACAATGATTTAAAACTTTGATTGTTTGCTTTGGTTTTATAATAATCACTTTCTACACCATATGGGTAATTTCATGGCAGTCAGTTTTGTTGGTGTACTAAACTGTAGTACTTGAAGGAAAGTGCCAACCTGCGGGAGCAAACTGACTAACCTTATCACATATGACATGAAAATCAAACCTTAATTTTGCAACTGCCCAACTAGGGCTCAAACCAACACCGAGGCTAGTAATTAAACATACATGTAAGGTGTGACAAACTATCATACAAACACGCCTACTGCCCCTGATAAGTTTTGAGGATAAAGGATCTGTACCAAATTAGGATAGCCATGCAAAATATTAAAAATTTGGAAGGTTGGCACAAATAGACATGGTGTTTATACTAATATTATCCAAGTGCAAGGTTTTTCAGGGCTAGGTTTAAAACGTATGATAAATTCAAAATAGAAATATGCAGCAGGACAGACAAGTTTTGCAGTTAAATAAATTATGGGTTGTAATGCTTGTTTGATGAACAGAAATCTGGACATGCATTACATGAATACAGATAAATTAATGAGCCCTTAGAATTGTGGAAAAGGAGGGGATTTTATTCATCACTAGTACACTAGATACATTTATAAATATGTTTCTGTCAGTATCTTTTATGTTTTAAGAATGATCTTATTCATGTTAAGAAGAAAGGCAAGAAAAGGGGGAAGTACTTCAATTGACACAAGATGCTAGTCTTTAAAATATGTATGTTTTGTACCAGGCTAGCATCTACTGGTACAAAACTACTATAAACCTGTAAATCTGGGACCATTTTGGTCTTTTAGCTATGGTGCTTTCAGCCATAATTATCTTGAATGCATCATTGTGGTTCTGACTATAGTAGATACTTTGTTCTCTGGTTCAAGGGAAAATTTGTCAATGATAATTTAATAAATTCAACAAATGTGATGTCCCTGTGAAAAGCTTCTATCTCATGAAGCGACAAAGTCAAGCAGACATCAACTGTTTCTGCTTTACAAAAGATAATATTTGAGTCCTCTACAAGGTCTCTCAGGACATTTCTTTCAAAGAATAGCTGAAAATTTGATTTTTGATAAAATCCATCTCCCTTAACCATTGCAGCATAGGGAGATGCTTCCCCCTGCCCGGCCTCTTTGACATTACTTTTGGCAGACTTTTTCTATTCCATGTCATTTGTAATAAAATGCTCCGCAGGGCGCAGCTTGATACGACCGCAGAGGTCGAACCCTGAACAGTTGGGGGAAGTATGGACACAACATTCAAGCTTGATACAGCTTTGGATTTGGATTGTGATTAAATATTTGACACAGCATAGGTTTCTAACACAGATTGAATGTGGTCTAAGAACTTAAAAATTTTAAATTGGACATTCACCTATTATGGTCCAATATCCAAAATCTAAATACATGGTTAGATTCAGCATATCAAAGAACCCCAAGAATTCAATTTTTGATGAAATCAAACAAAGTTTAATTTTGGACCCTTTTGACCTCAATGTGGACAAAGTTGATAACGGGGCCCAAAAATCAAAAATCTAAATACATGGTTAGATTCAGAATATCAAAGAACCCCATATATTCAATTTTTGTTGAAATCAAACAAAGTTTAATTTTGGACCCCGATTTGGACCAACTTGAAAACTGGGCCCATAATCAAAAATCTAAATACATGTTTAGATTCAGCATATCAAAGAACCCTAAGAATTCAATTTTTGTTAAAATCAAACTAAGTTTAATTTTGGACCCTTTGGACCTTAATGTAGACCAATTTGAAAACGGAACCAAAAATTAAGAATCTAAATACACGGTTAGATTCGGCATATCAAAGAACCCCAATAATTCAATTTTTGATGAAATCAAACAAAGTTTAATTTTGGACCCTTTTGACCTCAATGTGGACAAAGTTGATAACGGGGCCCAAAAATCAAAAATCTAAATACATGGTTAGATTCAGCATATCAAAGAACCCCATATATTCAATTTTTGTTGAAATTAAACAAAGTTTAATTTTGGACCCCGATTTGGACCAACTTGAAATCTGGGCCCATAATCAAAAATCTAAATACATGTTTAGATTCAGCATATCAAAGAACCCTAAGAATTCAATTTTTGTTAAAATCAAACTAAGTTTAATTTTGGACCCTTTGGACCTTAATGTAGACCAATTTGAAAACGGAACCAAAAATTAAGAATCTAAATACACGGTTAGATTCGGCATATCAAAGAACCCCAATAATTCAATTTTTGATGAAATCAAACAAAGTTTAATTTTGGACCCTTTTGACCTCAATGTGGACAAAGTTGATAACGGGGCCCAAAAATCAAAAATCTAAATACATGGTTAGATTCAGCATATCAAAGAACCCCATATATTCAATTTTTGTTGAAATCAAACAAAGTTTAATTTTGGACCCCGATTTGGACCAACTTGAAAACTGGGCCCATAATCAAAAATCTAAATACATGTTTAGATTCAGCATATCAAAGAACCCTAAGAATTCAATTTTTGTTAAAATCAAACTAAGTTTAATTTTGGACCCTTTGGACCTTAATGTAGACCAATTTGAAAACGGAACCAAAAATTAAGAATCTAAATACACGGTTAGATTCGGCATATCAAAGAACCCCAATAATTCAATTTTTGATGAAATCAAACAAAGTTTAATTTTGGACCCTTTTGACCTCAATGTGGACAAAGTTGATAACGGGGCCCAAAAATCAAAAATCTAAATACATGGTTTGATTCAGCATATCAAAGAACCCCATATATTCAATTTTTGTTGAAATCAAACAAAGTTTAATTTTGGACCCCGATTTGGACCAACTTGAAAACTGGGCCCATAATCAAAAATCTAAATACATGTTTAGATTCAGCATATCAAAGAACCCTAAGAATTCAATTTTTGTTAAAATCAAACTAAGTTTAATTTTGGACCCTTTGGACCTTAATGTAGACCAATTTGAAAACGGAACCAAAATTTAAGAATCTAAATACACAGTTAGATTCGGCATATCAAAGAACCCCAATAATTCAATTTTTGATGAAATCAAACAAAGTTTAATTTTGGACCCTTTGGACCTCAATGTGGACCAATTTAAAAACCAGGCCCAAAATCCAAAAACTAAATACACGGTTAGATTCAGCATATTAAAGAACCCCATGAAATCAAGAATAAAACCCCATTGAAATTGGTCAAGAAATAAGCAATTTATAGGAAGTATCTTCTTTTGCACAATCCTGTGCTATTAAATATTTCTTGCTATTGCGCAATACTGTACAATTGACAATTTCTTGCTATTGCGCAATATTGTGCTATTGGATATTTCTTGCTATTGCGCAATACTGTGCAATTGAAGATTTCTTGCTATTGCGCAATACTGTGCAATTGAAGATTTCTTGCTATTGTGCAATACTGTGCAATTGAAAATTTCTTCCTATTGCACAATACTTATTATATAATAATTTACACATCCTGTTTGGTGTGTATCTCCTACCATATCATTATTATTTGATTTTAAATATAAATCAGAAATAACCAACTTAAAATGGAAAATTTTAAAAGAAACAAAAAAGGAAAAAAAGAAAAAAAAGGAAAAAAAAATAAATCCCCCCCCAAAATTTTTTGAACCCCCATTATGATTCATCACCCCCAAACTCAATCCCAGCCTTCCCTTTGTGGTATGGTACCTTGCAGTACAATTTCAGAGAGAGCCATACACTTGAACACAAGTTATTGTCTGGAAACTAGAAAAAAATGTGTTTTTTGGCCCCTTTTTGGCCCCAAATTCCTAAAGGTTTAGAGCAATTACCCCCAAACTCAAACCCAGCTTTCCCTTTGTGATATGGAACCTTGTAGTACAATTTCAGAAAGATCCATACACTTACACACAAGTTATTGTCATGAAACTAGAAAAATGCTTGTTTTTTGCCCCTTTTTTGGCCCCTAATTCCTAAAATTTGGAGGCAATTACCCCCAAAATCAATCCTAGCATTCCTTTAGTGATATGGAACCTTGTGGTACAATGTCAGAGAGATCCATACACTAACACACAAGTTATGTCTGGAAGTTACAAAAATGCTTATTTTTGGCCCCTTTTTGGCCCCTAATTCCTTTACTGTTATTACCATAACCCCCAACCTTCCTTTTGTGGTATTGAACCTTGTGGTAAAATTTCATAAAGATCCATTCACTTAAACTAAAGTTAGAGTGCGAAAACCAATGTGTCTTCGGACGACGCCAGACGACGCCGGACGACGACGACGACGACGCCGGACGACGACGACGCCAACGTCATACCAATATACGACCACAAAAAATTTTTTGCGGTCGTATAAAAATGTTTGCTCCCAATACAGTGTAAGGCAATCGCTTTTAAGATCGTGATTTGGAACGGATACGATCAAATTCCGGCACAATTTCAATTTTTTTTTTTTCAAATAAAAAAAAATAAATTTCTGCAACGCAAATAAAAATTTTTGGGCGGCAAGTTTTTCAGTGGGTCGGGCGGCAATGCCAAACAAATGAAATTTTATTTTAGGCCTAAAAGGTCCACCCATGAAATATGTGAAACAATTCAAATGAGAAAACTAACGGTCTAATTTATAACTAAACAACTTATGAAAAAGAAGCATGACAGACATGAACCAATGACAACCACTGAACTACAGGACAAGCACATAAATAATAAAAGAAGAATGTGTTGGAGGACACAAATGCCCTGCTCAAGCTTGCTTATAATACGTTAAAATACATTTTGAGACCAGTCTTAGGTATTTTTTTATAAAGGGGCATAACTCTGGAATGATAAGTGACTCACTGCCCAAATTTAAACTCTGTCTGCAAGTTTTGGTTCTTAGCATTGAGTATGAGTTTCATAAAATTTGCATGAGACTACCTTAAGTTAGAGTGCGGAACCGAAAAATTAGCAATTTTCCAAATTATAAAGGGCATACCTCTAGAACTGTAAGTTACTCACTGCACAAATTCAAACTCTGTCTGCGATTTTTGGTTCTTAGCATTGTGTATGAGTTGCATAAAATTTGGATGAAGTAAATTTAAGCTAGAGTGCGGAAAAAGAAAATGAGGTGGACAGAATGATGGAAAGACAGACGGTCACGGGTAACACTTAATGTTCCCTTCACCTAGCAGCTGGGGCATAACAATTTGGTTCCAGTCAATTAAGATCGGTTCCATCCATGTTGAGACTTTTCAGTAGTTGCTACTTACCTGTACAGATCAACAACATACTGAATTGTCTGAAAAGCTACTAAACCGTACTGAATTGACTGCAGTTGATAAATCTGAAAATTGACTGAGAGACTGTACATGACTTCCGGTAATAATCTATTGTTCAGACTGTTCAGATGATGTTAAAATCAACATGACTTTTTCAGACTAAAATTCGTTTACAAGTAACAGTTTTGAATAAAATGCTCCGCTGGGCACAGCTTGATACGACCGCAGAGGTCAAACCCTGAACAGTTGGGGCAAGTATGGACACAACATTCAAGCTTGATACAGCACTGAATTTGGATTGTGATTAAATATTTGATACAGCATAGGTTTCTGACACAGAATGAATGTGGTCTAAGAACTTAAAATTTTTTAATTTACCTATTCAAACCATATCATTATTATTTGCTTTTATATATAAATCAGAAATAACCAATTTAAAATGGAAAATTTTAAAGAAAAAAAAAGAAAAAAAAAATCCCTCCCCCAAATTTTTTGAACCCCCTTATGATTCATCACCCCAAAACTCAATCCCAGCCTCCCCTTTGTGGTATGGTACCTTGCAGTACAATTTCAGGGAGATCCATACACTTGAACACAAGTTATTGTCTGGAAACTAGAAAAATGCTTGTTTTTAGGCCCCTTTTTGGCCCCAAATTCCTAAACATTTAGGGCAATTACTCCCAAACTCAAACCAAGCTTTCCCTTTCTGATATGGAACCTTGTCGTACAATTTCATAAAGATCCATACACTTACACACAAGTTACTGTCCTGAAACTAGAAAAATGCTTGTTTTTTGCCCCTTTTTTGGCCCCTAATTCCTAAAATTTTGAGGCAATCACCCACAAAATCAATCCCAGCCTTCCCTTTGTGGTATGGTACCTTGCAGTACAATTTCAGAGAGATCCATACACTTGAACACAAGTTATTGTCTGGAAACTAGAAAAATGCTTAATTTTGGCCCCTTTTTTGCCCCTTATTTCTTAACGTTTTGGGCAATTACCCCAAAACTCAAATCCAGCTTTCCCTTTGTGATATGGAACCTTGTAGTACAATTTCAGAAAGATCCATACACTTACACACAAGTTATTGTCATGAAACTAGAAAAATGCTTGTTTTTTGCCCCTTTTTTGGCCCCTAATTCCTAAAATTTTGAGGCAATTACCCCCAAAATCAATCCCAGCATTCCCTTTGTGATATGGAACCTTGTGGTAAAATGTCAGAGAGATCCATACACTTAAACTAAAGTTAGAGGGCGAAAACCAATGTGTCTTCGGACGACAACGACGACGACTTCAACGTCATACCAATATAAGACCGCAAAATTTTTTTGCGGTCGTATTAAAAAACTGTACATATGTCCCTACCCATATAAGTCCTGGTTTATGATCTTACCAAGCCTATGTTCACTGATATCTTCACAGACTGATGGAAGTGTGGTCACTGTTGGAGTAAAATATGAACTGTGACCTTCCTCTGTGGCCGGCTGTAACTGAAAGCTTTCATTTAAATCATCTGGATATACTTTGGTTTGATTCTCTGTATATTTCTTCTTCACCCTCTCATATTTATAACATGGAAGTGCATTTAAATCTGAAATGATAAATATTTGCTGTTATCACGGTATCATTTGTATTAAACAATTTAAGCAATTTCTCTATTTCTACAGTCATTCAAAAGTTCCTCAGATACTGCAAAAAAATGTATGCAAAAATACTAGTGTTAGAGGGAAAACAAACAATTAGTCCAAAGAAGATAGACAACACAATGGACACAAGAAAAATGACTAAAATACAAATGTACATACAACAGTCCAAAAACACTAAACAGAAAAGTGAAGAGATCTATGAACCCTATCCAAAACCATTGGTGAACACCGGTGTTGTAAAAAGATAAGTAGTTCCTTCTCCACTGGTTGCACCCGTTCATATCTCACAACAAGCCAAAATCCAGTGAGTGGAAGTGATGTCTAAAATAAGAACAGTTTTTATTTATTAACACTATTACGTATTCACCAGGTAAATATTACTAAGACAACTATTTAGTCAATAAAATGTAAACTTAAAATAATATACTATCATCTAAATATTGCAATGAAATATGATTGGATTTAATCTTTTCAGATCAATTCTTTCTTCTTATAACCATAACACTAGCTATATATAGGTGTCTGATCTAGTCACTGACAACTAATTGATTTTCATTTATTAATATCATACTAAATCATAATAGTATATAAACACCACAATTTGACAAGGCAAAATTTCACACTTGTAAAAACCACCAAAATATTCAGATTTGCAGTTTGTGATATTCCATAACTGCCATTTAAATCATGATGGCATCACTGAAACTTTTGAAGAGATGACTTCATCTTTTTATTGAAGAACCCTTGAGTTAATAGCTTGTAAGCAGCAGCCCTTTATTTAACATTCCTTTAACATTTATTTGAAAATGAGTTGTAAAAAAAGGCTGCTGTCAAACCAGGAGGGTGATTGGCACAAGTTCAAGTTGTTATTGGCAGCCTTTTATACAGTACTGAGATGAAAGGGTTTTACATCTACAGTAAAAACAAGCTCATTGATATAAAACTTAGAAGCGAAACCAGTACTGTATAGTCAGCTATAAAAGGCCCCAATGTGAAAAATGTAAAACAATTCAAAGGAGAAAACTAACTGCCTGATTTATGTACAAAACAATAAACGAAAAAACAAATATGGTATACAGCAAGAAACGACAACCACTGAATGACAGGCTCCTGACTTGGGACAGGCACATACATGATGTGGCAGGGTTAAACATGTTTGCTGGCAGCAAACCATCCCCTTAACCTTGGACAGTAGTGTAACAGCACAACATCAAAACAAACTATAAAAATCAGTTGAAAAAGGCTTAACTCATCAGATCGATACAAAGCACAAAAACACTAACAAAAACACTTAAGACACAAAGTACAGATCTGAGAGTACTCTAAGTTACTGAAAGCTAGTTGAAAGCCAATAACAACTAATAACAAGAGTGCATATGCTGAAATGTCTCGCCTCCTATACTGACCATTGATTTTATGTTGAAAGTCATAATATAAAGTTTTACTACAAGTATCACATTAATATTTATGATCCAAGAAAATGAGGTCAAGGTCAGATTAACCAAGCTGGAAATACATGTACACCTTTCATACAATCATTCCATACACTGAATATAGATGACCTATTGCTTATAGTATAAAAAAAAACAGACCAAACCATGGAAATTTTATATTGACCAATGAACCATGAAAATGAGTTCAAGTTCAGATGAACCCATCCAGACAGACATGTACACCTTAAAATCATTCCATGCATCAAATATAGTTGACCTATTGTTTATAGTATCTAAGAAACAAAGTTAACCAGGAAAACTGAACATTGAAAAATGAACCATGAAAATGAGGTAAAGGTCAAATGATACCTGCCAGACAGACATATACACCTTACAATCATTCCATACACCAAATATAGATGACCTATTGTCTAACGTTTAAGAAAAACAGACCAAAACACAAAAACTTAACACTGAGCATTGAACCATGAAAATGAAGTCAAGGTCAAATAAAACCTGGCAGACTGACATGTACATCGTAAAATATTTCCATACACCAAATATAGTTGACCGATTGCAAACAGTATTAGAAAAACAAACCAAAACACAAAAAACTTAACATTGAGCAATGAACCGTGAAAATGACGTCAAGATCAAATAAAACCTGCCAGACTGACATGTACATCGTAAAATATTTCCATACACCAAATATAGTTGACCTATTGCATACAGTATAAGAAAAACAGACCAAAACACAAAAATTTAACATTGAACAATGAACCGTGAAAATGAGGTCAAGGTCAAGTTAAACCTGCCAGACTGACATGTACATCATAAAATATTTCCATACACCAAATATAGTTGACCTATTGCATACAGTATAAGAAAAACAGACCCAAACACAAAAACTTAACATTGAGCAATGAACCATGAAAATGAGGTCAAGGTCAGATGACACCTGTCAGTTGGACATGTACACCTTACAATCATTACATACACCAAATATAGTAGACCTATTGCTTATAGTATCCGAGATATGGACTTGACCACGAAAACTTAACCTTGTTCACTGATCCATTAAATTAGGTCGAGGTCAAGACCTTGCAAAGTAGGCACATACCAAATATAGTTATCCTATTACTCATAATAAGAGAGAAATTAACATAACAAAAAATATGATCTTTTTTTCAAGTAGTCACTGAACCATGAAAATGAGGTCAAGGACAATGGACATATGACAGACGGAAACTACATATCATAAGGCATCTATATACAAAGTATGAAACATCAGGTCTTCTACCTTCTGAAATATAAAGCTTTTAAGAAGTTGGCTAACGCCGCCGCCTCCACTGCCAGATCACTATCCCTATGTCGAGCTTTCGGTGACAAAAGTCGCAGGATCGACAAAAAAATCATTTACAAATGTATCTTAAACGCTAAAATAGATTTCTAATAGATTTAAAACTTCATTCTGGTAGTATGTTTACTCTGCTTTTCTATTGCTAAAATAAATACTGAGATTTCTGGCAATGACATTTTATCCTTAGATATTATTAATTTTTCTTTCCATATCATATTCAATGGAAGAAGAGCATCCTTGGAGCTTGTAGCTAACCTTGCATTCTTGCCAAAAATAAATTGATACCATGCAACAAGATTCTGTGCTAGATAGAATGGTTCATAAGTACATGTAATTGCATGGAAACAATAAAAAGTGCCATTTTCAATCTATCAAAAACCGTAACTCCTGCCCTGTAAAAGTGGAAATCGTCAATATTGAACTTGACCTTCATTTTGTCATCAGTCACAACATATTAAAATTTGAAAAGCATTGGTTGAACAGTTTGTATTTTATTGCACTGAAATAACATAAAGTGCTACTTTCTAATTCATCATCCCTTCATTGAAGAAAAGCCAAAATTACCTTTAGCTAAATTTGCTTGTATTTTCTGTCTTAGCACTTTCTCTGACATTCCTTCTGGTTTGTATACACAAAACACTCCATTCAACAATCTTGCTGCCTGTGGGGCCCATTTAAACCTCATTGTATATTATTTTTCTACAAACAAAAAATTGTACATTTAAATATAATGTCATTATTGTTCTTTTTAATACCTGTTGTAGCTTACACAATTTTTGATGATGTTCTGTTTCATTTCATTGCATAGAATGAATACCGGTAAATGATAAATCATCTTTTACAGATCACATGGAAATTATTCTTTCTGTGAACTAAATGTATCAACTAAAATATTTACAATCAAAGTATCTACCACAGCATTGTGTGTGTTATGACATGCCTCCATTCTATAGGTATACAGGTAATTCAGGACTGGTCTGGAAGAAAATATATATGAAAGAAGTATATAATCATACAAAAAAGTTTCTACACATTGCTGTTACTTTCAAATATGTAAAATATTTCGGTCATTTTAGTATGAAATAAAAACTTAAGGACCTAGGATCACTTTTGAACCCTTGTTGAATTTTTATTCTGAATGATACAAAAGTTGTGTAAAATTGAACTAGAAGGACTTAATTTGCCTGTTTTGACAATCAGAAGTACATGTTTCGTACTTATGTACTTTTGGGAACCAGTGCCCTCCTAAATGCAATTAAGGCACAATATACACTCAGAAGTTTGGTTTTGCATTTTGGCCTCGATGAATTTTTCAAAAATGAAAGTTAATGTGCAATAAAAATTTATTTTTAGATAGCTGAAGAATACTATATCCTTCAAAATTGGTTAATATAAACACAGATTGCTTTTTGCTTGTTTTAAAGGCCATATTTTGGTTGACAGTCCCTATTTTCCTATCCTACAGGTCCTTAAATTATTGTAGTGTTTTCCAACAAATATTTTACACTCGAACTTTTCAGTTCAATTTTTTGGGAAAAATGAGGTGAATTGCATATGATTTTTATTTGACCTCATGATAGATAAATGTAAATTGTTTCAGAAAAGGTATCACTCAAATGGATTAAAATTCTACTTTGGACCTAATTTTGGTGACTTTTGTGACATTTTCACTCCCCTTTTTGCAATATTTTGTATCAAATAAATGCAGATTGTTGCCATGGTAACACCAAAAAGGGATATTTCACCATTTTAACTATTGGAAATCAAATCTATGGAAGATGCTGTTTCCATACATAAAAATGCACATACATGACACTTACAGTAAGCCTTATGTGTTAGAAAGCAAGGTAAAGACGGTGGTAAGAAATTATTAGTGTCAATTTAAAGTTTTTTTCGTAACTGTGTCTTGCTACCTAAGGTATGTTGAATTTTTCAGCACATATACATGTTCCAGGTTAAGGTATTGTTCTGACATGAAATGACTGTCACTTTATTTAAACTTAAGACAAAATGGCTATGAATGCTAGATATTGCTGAATTTATTGATCAGATATATTCCAACATGTGCATCACTATATACCCTGCTCTAGGTGGGTTATAAAAATCTGCATAGTGCAGCTACCAACAGGCTGACCACTAACTTGAACAAGGCAATACATGTGAGAGATGGTGCATAATGTGTAAAGCAGGGTCAAAATATGCTCTCTGTTACAGGAAGAAAGCCAAGGTAGCTACAGTTATTGGTTGAATATTGCTGCTTAAGAACATGAAAAGAACAGATACATACATTTTGTACATGACTCCTAACAGTAATCTTAAAGTCTCATCATAAGAATACTTACAGAATAATGTATACACATGAATTTTCTTTATTTAAGCAATGACTATTCTATTACATGTCTAATCTCTATCATGTCTCAATATAATTCCAAGGAGACAGATTTATAATATAAGCACTTGTTGCTTGAAAAATATTTCGATCCCTAACATCACTGAAGAGACAGTAATTGTCGAAATCCGGATATGGTGTACAAATTTTTGCACCTTATATTTGCGATATACCATCTTTTCCGCAAGTTTATTGTTTTCTGTTTGGTATTAAATTTTTAATTAAGATCCATGTTACATCTGGTGATCAATTTATTTGGCAATCACCAATGGCAGTCAGCAGGGTTTAAGAACATCAGTCGTTCGACCTGTTAGTCAAATGCGTTTTGTTAAAATATACTTTTCACTTTTTGGTCTTTTGGAAAATGTTGTTTGTGCTGTATTAAGACCCCTCTACCAAGAAATTTGTTTTACATGCACACGTATAAAAATTGCGCTTTTTTATCCAACGCAATCATAGGTTTGAACGTTGTATTCAATTTAGACTTGTATAAGTATATTGTTGTGCTGATTTATATATATATATATAATATATATATCCGCAAATTTGCATATTTAACATTGTTGTGCTGATATTTAGAGTAATTATGAATATAATATGTGTTTTCAGCTGTGTATCACCATGAATCATGATCACCTCCACGGCACTGGATCTGTCCTAGAGTAAGAGTTGTCACGTGTTTAGACGTACTTATATATATTTGCATGCTACCTGTTACCTGTTAGGCATTTTCACCCTTTCTCATTACTCTAAGGGTCACTCCCTCAAGTTATGAAAGGAAATTAATATCTAAAGTATATATATTTACATGTGAAAAGCAACCGGAAATTTGCGAAGAGTTCTAACCTACAACAACACCGTCGTGGAAAGCAGTTCCGAAAAATACTTATTACTTTCACTAATTTTAAAAGGTTCATCATAACAAATGGACAAAAATGGCTGTGTTTAGACCTCAAAAACTACTCTGAGTACAGACTAACCTGTGCAGTTAGAAAAGTTTTAAGGCCTGGTATCCACTAGATATATAAAAGTTAAATGCATTTTGTTTTTCAGAAAGATAAAATCACCTTCTGCAGTACCCGTAACATCTGGTGTACCACAAGGAACAGTATTGGGCCCAATACTGTTCCTCATCTATATAAATGACCTACCTGAATATTTACAACACAGCAAGCTAAGACTCTTTGCAGATGACAGCATAATTTACAAGGAAATAAAAACACAGGATGATTGTCATAAACTGCAACTACACATGTAGATCTAGACTCAGCAGCACGATAGGAGTCAGATTGGCTCATGGCATTTCACCCTGATAAATGTACCAACCTAACCATCTCACAAAAGAAAAAAATAACTACCGGCATAATTACATCCTCCACAAGCACATTCTCGAATCAGTATAAACATCTGCAAAATACCTCGGCATCACCTTACAATCCAATCTTAAGTGGAACAAGCACATAGACAGTATAGTATCAGAGACATATAATACAATATGTCTCTGATAGTATCAAATGGGAACAGATCACTTGGTTTTTTAAAAAGAAATTTAAAAGTTACAAACACAGAAATAAAATCAAGGGCATACCAGGCACTAGTAAGACCCAAACTAGAATATAGTTGTAGTGTCTGGGACCCCCATATGAAAGAACAACAGATAAAATTAGAAAATGTGCAGAGACGAGCTGCTCGTTATGTACACAACAACTACAATTACACGAGCAGTGTCACAAACATGCTAATTCAGTTGAAATGGCCACCACTAGCTGAGAGACGCCTAAAAACCAGACTTATTTTATTTTATAAAGTAATACACCGTCTTGTAGCCATTCCATCGCATATTCTTGAGCAAACAGACAGCAGAACAAGACAAAACCATACTCAAACATACAGACACATCCAAACTTCCAAGGACACATACAAATGGTCGTACTTCCCGCGAACAATTATTCAATGGAACTTGCTACCACAAACTCAGAGACATATAAATATTTAGTATACATGTCTCTGACAAACTGTTATTGAAACCGCCACTGTTGACAGCTTTAGAGATCAGCTAACACCAGCTGTTCTCTCTAGCTTCAAATAAACAAATCCAAACCAAAACATGTACATAAATTGCATATTTTTTAATCACAATCTGTATATACAAACACTTAAATTGTTAGTAAATATTTTTATTAATTTATATAAATTTTGTCAATCACGCATGCGCAACAACATGTATTCTTCAGTATTGAAGCCTTGTTGACCTAAAAGAAGAAGAAGAAGAAAAAAAATGCCCATCAAAATCCAAAAAAGATTTTATCTTTCTGAAAAACAAAATGCATTTAACTTTTATATATCTAGTAGATGCCAGACCTTAAACTGACTTTAGTCTGTATTTTTTTACACGATTTGGCCGTCACAATGCTATTAGATACCATAGATATAATAGCCATTGGCTATTATATCTATGTAGATACGAACTAGTATAATAATAACATAAAGTAGATTTTTCTTATTTTTATCGGAAATTCGAATATGTGCACACCAGTGGTTCTCAGTCTGATTATATGGTCTAGAAGTTCCACCGGTCTAGTCGGTATCGGGTCCGTTCGCCCTGATTACATGTTCGCCCTAGTTCCGTTCGCCACGAGTTCGTTCGCCCATAGAGTCCGTTCGCCCTACTTTTATTAAAAATATTAATATTAAGTGTATTAAAGTTTAATGAACTTATTCAGATATTTATATGATATAAATTCATGAAAACACATGGAAATATTTAAAACTGATGGCGCGTTTAGGAGCATTAATTGTTCATAATAATCGGCCCCCTAATTCTCATTGATTGTTGTAATAATTGTCTTTGATGGATTAATTATAAAAACAACATTTTGTTTGGATAAACTAGTCAGCTTGGAATGAGTATTCTTTTTATTATCTTTGAGCCTTACGGCTCATCAGTATAATCAAATACATGTACAGTGTATACATATGGCATATTACAAACAATATTAACTATATGCATAATTAACAATAGGTGACGTCAGAAGTTTCATCAATACAAAATATCTTTTATTACAATAAACTGTTTCTTAATTTAAAAGAGAAATGTATATATTTTCCTAAGTTACAAAGCTGTTTTGTGTTTTCACCGGACAATAGTTCTATTAACTTAAAAGTTGATGGCCTAGACCAGTAACATATTTTTATATATTTTTTTCGCAAATCAGTATATCTACTACATTGAAGGATGAAATTCATCCTCTATTACTCCTAAATCACAAAAAATACAATTTCTTTCATTTCTATAAGTACCCACATAACGTCCAGTTTCAATACAAAGGTTATGTGAAGACAAACGAATCCTTGTTATACATTTACGAATGATGTACGAATTGTAAAACACGAAAAGGATTTATAAATTCATTGATTATTATACTGCATAAATTGACTGACTAGAATGATTAAAATCGTTAACAAATATCAATAAAGATAAATACATTGTATTCCAGTATTCTACTATGCAAATCAAAGGAAAATAATGATTTGGTTGCAGCAATACAAATATTCGGCAATTTTTTTCAACAAACTTTAACATACTCTGTTCAAATAATAAACATTATGCAACTATGCCCTTTCTTTCGTTTGCACACATTCTACATCACATCATACACAGTTTAATTTTAAGCAGAGACATAAATACAATGTATCATATCTGTCTCTGTTTTAAAGGAGTAGATTTTTTTCAATATATGCCTTTATACCGTGAGTGCCAATAGAACTATTAGTCCCAGTAATAACGCAGCATATCATATTCAGCGGAACAACCTTTGGTCCCTTTTTGAATAAAAATACAAAAATGTTATTTCAATGCATTCTATGAACATTTGACTACAATTCTAACATTTTAGTCCCAGTAGCATCGACTGTTTTTTCAGTCAGAAACAGTGGTGATATAGTTTAGGACGATAGCTAGGGTCAAAATCAAAACTCACAAATGTTTATCCAAATGTGATCACTCTCGACCAAAAGAAAAGATCGAGAAAGGTTGGATTGACGGGGGTTGATATTTCATTAAACAGATTTATTATCGATGTAGACGCCCATACAATTCATGGACTTTAGCTTTATTTTTCATCATGTGTCTCTGTAAGATAAATATATACATGGACATAGATATTGAATTGAAAGGAAGTAAAATTTAGATTGAAGCAATATTTGCTTTTAAAAAGATGATGCTAAGACGCAATCGAAATTTTTACTTCTCAATTTCAATGTAAATAGATATAAGAAGATGTGGTATGAGTGCCCATGAGAACAACTCTCCATCCAAGTCACAATTTGTAAAAGTAAACCACGCGGGATATATAATGTGGGTATTGAATGGAATTGTTGTAGTTTGGAGCAGCAGCCAAGAATGTGATTGGCACTGTATCTTCGAATCAACTAAATGAAATGACTTATCTCAGAATAATTTACTTTTGTACCGTTGAACTCTTAAAATGGGTTAATTTATGAACTATGTATATATATATACTGTTTATACATTGACACATTTCAACGTTAAGATTTGAAACATTAATTTCCTAAGAACAATTCTAACTGAAATTGGAAATTTTGACATTAAGCAGTGCCCCTGAATTTGAAAGCTGAATTTTGTCAGTGTCGCTTAAAGCTCGCTGCATGCTTGTTGTGGGTTCTCCATTGCATTTAAGATCGTGCAAATCTTAAAATGGGTTAATTTATGAAATAAGCCATGGATATCTGTTGCATTGCGTGATTTTATTCCGCCTTCGTACCATTGCCCAATATCCGTTTTTTTTTTATACAAGATATGATCCTTACGGAGCATCTGATGAAGAAAATTGGCACCTTCAACGTATTACTGCCACTATAGGTCCTCCGGTATATCAACAACCCAGAAGCTGGTGGCGGATATTGTTTCTTTTAGATTATTTCAACGGATGAGATACATAGATTCTTACATTTGGACCAGTGGATTATTGGATTTATCCAATCGAGATATTCAAATTACCGAATTTTATAAATTCCGAGCCTTCGGACGCATGAAATTTATAACGTGTTGTTTTCATTTTTTATTGAAATATGCTGATATAAATCTAAGTAATTCATTTAAGATTCAGTTATGCGTCTTTCTAATGCATAGCTCTTGTTTCTTGTCCGTGTTTGGCTCTAATGTTTGGTCATTTTCGGTTATGTCAACTCTTCATAGTGAATTTGTATCTGTGTTTTTTGTTTTGAAATATATTAGAGTCGACCATCAATGAATAAATATTTAATGTCGAAATCATGTTGCATCTAGTGTAGTAACTTGAAAATTGGTACAGGCAATATATTTTCGGTTAAATAGGGAGCAGTTTTCATTCTCGTTCATCCGAAAAGAAATGTAAAATAACCGTGACATCTAAATCACTTACTCGATGTCTTTCCTAGTAGCACGAAGACGATCAGAGAATTATTCACATGAGAAGTAAATATGCCATAATATTTTCTTAATCTATTCAATAAAAACGATTATTCCAAACAGTGCATTTGAAATAGGCACCGTGATGCAAAACATCCCCAAGCAACTTTAAACAGCCCCGTGAACTATGACCTTGAAAACAAAAGACTTCGAGTCCTCCCTATACTGAATGTGCGTACAAAATTTGGTGAATATCGGTTGAGAAACAAAAGCCCTATTGTATTGAGTATTACGGCCCCCACGCACGGAAGGCCAGTTAGAATATTTTCAGTGTTTGAGCGAAAGATCTCTTTTGTCCATTATCACATCCTGTATACAGATAATACATCCGCGTATACCAGTTTCCGCGGTTAGCA